GAGGGACGTACGACTTCGTGGATGTAACAAAATGACAGGTATTTCCGGTCTTGGCTCGCTTCCTGAATTGGACTCACTTGATCTAAGCATGACTGCTGTGACAAGCAGAAGTCTAAGTGGTTTAGGGGTTTCTCCGAGCCTGTCAAAAATTTTTCTTGAAGATTGTTGGAACTTGACATCCGTGCACACACTTTCCAGTATTTTGACACTGGAAGAAATTTACCTTCGTGGATGTATCCGGGTGACCGATGTGGGTGCTCTCGGCACGTTACCTGTGTTGTGCCTTCTTGATGTAAGTAAGACTTCCGTGACGGACGAAGGGCTGGATGGCCTGTCTGCTAGTCCTACATTAAAGCGAATTCTTCTTGAGGATTGTACAAGAATTACTACAATTGCTGCTTTGACCTCTATTCATACTATTTCGGAGGTAAATGTTTGCGGCTGTTCAGGTGTAAAAAGTTTTCTCTCAACCCCATAGTTTTTGGATTTTTGGGGGGGGTATATAAGTATAAGCAGTAACGCGCAAAGTAGTGTCTTATAAAGTTTTCTGAAGTCACGTATTTTAAAATAGTTCTTTTTTTTTTTTATGTGTGCGTTCTTTATATTGGGAGCGGATGTTTAAGGTCTCATTTTGATCCAATCAACTTTTCTTATTTTATTTTTTTTTATTTTGTTGTTGTTGTTGTTGTGAATTTTATTTACTTTGGTTCTGTTATTTTCCTTGTTATATATATTCTAAATGTGGAGAATTACTTCCAATACATGTTGCTTTTGCTCTGACAAGGTTGGCTTCTATTGTGGACTTCATGGAGTAGACATTGTGGACCTAATGATGCTTTTTTCTTTGGAATTCGACAGTGTTCACCAAAAAATAAGGTGATTCAAAGTTATTTATTTTGAAGAAGAGCGAAATATGGGCTGAACCAGATGCGGCAAAAATTTTTATAGCATTACTAGGGAATTAGCCTAGCGGCAGACTTCAATGATTATTTATTTCCCAAAAAGAAACCAAAGGCGATAATGGTCAACCTTCTCGATGGACGCAGCGTTCTTGTGGCGGGTAGTTTTTTTTTAGGAGTCGCAACTACTCACAAAGACGCCAATTTACCGTTGCAACACGTGGTGTTATTGGTGCCAACACCAGTTTGAGGAAGTATGGGAGGTTTTTATTGGGTTTTCTCCTCAGAAAAAGAAAGAAACCATGAAGAAGCTCGAAATACGGTTCTTTGATAATGAGAATCGGAAATTGACAGGGGCAGGGGCAGGGGTTTTGTAAATAGCATACACTGCAATTACACACGCGCTTTGTGTCACACCGTTCTCAATTGTGGAAGAAGAAGAAAAGGTGCCAATATGGGCGTTTTATCTCGTTGCCAGGCGCCACAGATGATAGAAATGATTATGAGGTCTAGGTGAAATTGAGACTCATCCCCGCTTACTCGGACGCGGCGCTTTTTACGGGAATGGCGATGCCACTAGAGTAAACCAAGACGGCAGATTGGATGCCACAGAAAGAGAGACAGGGAGAGAGAGGGTGTTCATGTTGGGAAAGCGGAGTGCCACGAACCACACAACCGCACCGCGGAGCGACGGTGGAAGGAAAAAGATTGATCCAAAGTATAAAGCGGTTTTTATTGGTAGCCCATTTTAATCAGCTAAACTGCACCAATTCACTTGCTTAGAAGCACACGAGTCAACTTTTGAGTGTACCGGAGTTAAGCACCATATCTGTAAGGAAATTAGAGGCGTCTCCAAAGTTGGTCACAGGTAAAAGACTCTCCAGAGGGATTTGGGGCACCTCCTTTAGGAATTCAGGCGGATTTCTTATTGCGGAAAAGAAGTGGGAGCAAACTCCACCTTTGATCGCCGCGGCGGAGGCCCGTGTGGAGCAATTTTCATGAAATGGAATTAACAATTTCTTAAACGAACACCTCCAAATCCAACTGGACAACGGCAAGGCGTTGGCAGAAATCCCTGACCTTAACTAAGACATTGTTGTGAATTACGGCTACTGCTTTGTTGTTATTGTTTTGAGTAAATATTGAAGGAGCTTGTTTTTGTTTTTGTTTTTGTGTGGGAGGGAAATTTCTCGATTTTTAAAAAAGGCCCAACAAGGCACGCTCTATTGAAATGAGAAAGAAAAACCTTTGGGTTTTGTTTCTTCTTTGTTTTTAATGAGACATTTGCGAAGCTTTTTTTTTTACGTTGAGGCGCGCTGGTTTGCATGAAAAGGGTAGTGATAGACTTAAGACCCAAGGAGTCTTATGCGGAGGGACATATTGAGGGAGCGTTCAATTTTCCTTGGGAAAGCATTCGGGCAGATGCATGTGGGTTGCCTCCGCGCGATGTAGCCCTCATAGCGATCTGCGATGGTCAGATGGATTTGGATATTGTCGAGGCGTATTTGAATCGGTTTCATTTTGCATCATTGGAGGTCAGACGGCTAAGCAAAAATGACGAACTTGTGTGTGAGTTGCCGAAAGGGACGTGCTGGTCTCCAAATCCTTTTCTTTCAGAGGTGATAACTGAGATTGAGGTGAAGAATGGTGGTCCTTCTTTTGCACTCGACGTGGGTTCAGGAACTGGGAGGGATATGGTCTACCTGGCGTCTCGAGGCTGGAGTGTTGTTGGAATTGAAAATCGATTCCGGCTGATTGAGCAGGGCGTTGCGCTCAGTAAAAAGCACAACGTAGATTGCCGCACCCTTTATATCCATTGCGAGTTGAAAAAATTCTTTCCTGTTAAATTTGAAGGCCCAGATCTGCTACATGTATGTCGCTTTTTGCATCGGTCTTCCTTGGAAATGCTGCTCAAGCTTCCTCGTCGAGGCGGATTCCTCGTCTACAGCCATTTTTTAGACGGATGTCAAAAAACTGAGGTGGGACATCCATCATCGATCGATGGATTTTTTCTTTGCGGAGAGCTACGTCAGATACTTTTTGGTGCTGGGTACACCGTTATTATCGAACGGGAAACGACGTTGCCAGACAAACGGCCCTTGGTACACATTTTTGCCCAGCGCACGAGGTAAATCTATGCGTTTTTGTAGTTTTCCATCAGTTTGCGGAAATGTGAGAAGGCAGCGTCGCCTCTCCGTGGAAAAGAGCATTGGATAAATTCACGTTTTTTTTTATCTCAATTTTCAATTCTTTTTCAAAACTCCGCGCGTCCGCAGAAGAAATGGTGGTCTTCTTTTTCCCTTTTTAGGAGCTTGTGCAGAGAATGTTCACGGGGCGAGCTGGCTAACTTAATTAATGTATGTGTATATCCTGATAAAGCAAACTCTGTGCGGCATTTTTTTTAGCTTTATGATTCCTTGGTTGACCGCGATTCTAGGAATCAGAAAACCAATGGCGTCTAGACGACTTTGATTACTTTATTTCATTTTTATTTTTACAGTCAAACCTGATTCCTGCAAGCGCATATAAAGAAATGGCGATGGGTCCTTTTACACGGCAACGGAGTGGAGCCTTATCGGTAATCGCATGGCGGATCTGGTACGTCAGCGTGGCGATGTACAGGCGCAACTCACCTAAATGGATGAAAAGGAACAGTCGGGATCAATGGCGACAGCCAGCGCCACCATAAGCGGCTCAAGATTGATTTCAGGAAACATCGCAAAGCACCGGGAGGGATCCAATCCTTACAGGGCACATCGCGGATCTCCGGGCGCCTCAAGTACAAAATTTTGAGACCCAGTTGCTCCTGCACATCGTGTGGGGACGGGCCGTCAGTTGGGGGGCGCGGCGAGGGCTGACCATCGCGGAAACGCCGAGATCGAAGTTGCACTACGCCGTCGCCGCCGCTGCCGCGCGGTGCGTGTGTCCGCAGAAAACTGCAATGATGAAGAAAGGGGACAGAGACGCAGTGCGGTCCTCGTCCATCTCGGTTGGTTGTGGCAACAGCGACGCCATCCCTCCAGATTGCCTGCGGCAGCGCCTGTCGCATTCAGCAGCGGTCGGTGCCTTCCTTCTCCCACCGGGACGCCACTCCACCAACGCCGTCGCTCGCCTCCTCCCCCCACCGACACAACGGGGGAGCAACAGCGGGAGATGCGACATGTGCGAAGAACACGCGGCCACAGAGTCCCACTGCACCCACCATGGCCAAGCAAAAGAGGGCTGCACAGAGCACCTTATCCAAATCCTCGGCCATCATACGCCTTACAAATGAGGAAGGGAGACATGCCAACAAAACCGTCGGCTCCATTCCTGCCCTTCTTTAGAACACAACACAACAACAAAATAAAGGCCAAGCGCACACCAATGCGGGCAAGCACAGACACACATCGTCGTGACGCCGTCGGTGCGCGCACAGGGAGGAAGAGAATGCTGCGCCCCACGGCAGACACGGCTCGCACAGTGCACACGCCGCAAAACAGCATCCACAAAACAAACGCACACACCACCAGGAGTCACCTACCGTGGACGAGGAGGAACAACACACAGCCTCCGCCTCCAGCTCAATCCCACGGACAACGGGATACGGCCACAGCCCGCTGCCGGCACACAGCGCACGCGGAGCAAGCAATCACCCAAAGAGCCACACGCGGAAGCGGATCCCCACCCATGCATGACGCGGCGCCTCACTCCACGCGGTCACACGGAATGCACTGTTTCCTCAATGGAACTTATGCCTCGTCCATCCCTTAAAGATGCTTCCTCTAATAATGGGGCTTGGAACACCATAGAAAAAAGTGAAAAACGCAGTAATACTGCAATAATGCCGGCCACAATCATCCTCCAACTAAGGTGCAACTCTCCAACTACGCCGCGTATGCACGAACAAGTAACATACCATATAAAAACCACCCAATGTTTTTCACCAGGAACCAAACAACCCCCTTTCCCTCCCTGATTTCTTCCGTCACTGCTACGATCAATAGCGTCGGACATTTTGGCATTTGTGTGCGGTGCTGCCGCATTGGGCTGGTGCACCTGCAGCGTATGCACACATAGGCATCCAAAAATATATAAATCCAAAAGTGTTTTTTTGCCAAATCAAAGCTGCCCCATTCCCCAATTTGTTCTCCTATTTCCGTGGTTATTCCTCACTTCGGAGAGCTGCATATCCGCCAAAGTCTCCGGATGACACTGACACTTGGTACTGGCACACCTCTTCCTCCCAGAACACCGAAGCTCACGGCTTTCATCGTCGCTCACATTATCGGAATTGTCGACTTCAAATGTCTGCCAGTCGTTCATCGGCGTGCTGGCTGCGTGCTGCACGTAAA